TACAGGGAGGATTGAGTAAACACACACACACACACACACACGCACGCACACACACACACATACATACATATATATACATCGTGGTGATAAAATCAAGCACACTTGGATTTCACCAGGCTCAACAAGAGTACTGTTATCCAGGACAAGGCTTTTTCACCACACATTAAGAATCCCTTTCTTATTTCAATGATTGCCTCAAAAAAGATAGTTATCCGCCAAAAAACTATCAACTTCCCTACTGATATTTGTTCTTTTTTTTTTCTTCTACTTTTTCTTTGTCCTACTATCATATTCTCCTGATCTGGGTTCTTCTTGTAGAAGAATTCTTCTAGAAGAACTTCTAGAACATCGATCATTATAATCTTTTAAAGTCACTGAAGAATCTATTGCTGCCTTTTGCAATGACTCTAACTCAAACTACTATGACATTTTCCAAAGTTTAACATTCATATTTACGCATTCAATTCTAATACCGAGATTAATATTAAAAATAGATGACTTACCGCAATACCCTGTGACTGTCACTAATTCTGGGATATTTTTAGTTTCTGTGGAATTTTAAAATGTAAGCTCCCGCTGAAGCCACTTTGGAAGGGAAAGCAGTGTGAAAAACTATGTGAAGTGTCTCTCAGTTCAGAGTCTTCTATTACGCTGAGAGCACAGTGATAGAACTGTGAGGAACATGAACAGCAAACTAAAGTGCTAGATGGTTTTCAAGTGTTTCTACTGATGCTAAGTTCCGCTGAAAACATCTCAGAGGCTGTACGACCACTGACAAAATATAAGTAACATGCCAAAATATTTACATTTAATTGATTACTGAGAAAATGGAATACTGTCTTAATGCAAGACACAAATTTTAAAAAGGTCTAATTGCTTCTATTTTCACCTTTCTAGAAACCAAGAAGCATATACAAATACAATGTTTCTCTTTAAGTGCACTTTATTTAAAATTGAGGCAAAGATAACTAGGTAGAAATAATGTTATTTTTAAAAAGAAGAGATTAAGAAACAATGGTATCACCAAAATGGTTGATAAAATGTCTCACTACAGATGTACTGCTGGTCATGAAGAAGAAAATAAATTAGTACATTATTACTTTGCAGTCTTCTAATAAAATAATGAATTTAGGTTAAGACCATTAATGCCTACTAACAGACACATCAATGGCAACTCAGGATGCTTGTTTGCCATTCATAATAATTGCACAGTCATTCAAAATAACTGTAAACCCGTGTTTATAGCGGCACAGTTTGTAATAGCCAAAACTTGGAAACAGCCCATTTGCCCATCAGTTGGAAACTGGATAAAGAAGATGTGGTTTTTCTATAAAATGGAATACTACTCGGCCATAAAGAATGAGAAATTAGATTCGTTCATAGGAAAATGGATACATATTGAGGTCATACTCTTAAGTGAAATAAATAAGACACACATGTGTAAATACCAAATCGTTTCTCTGGTGTGAAAAACTGTAATTGTACATAAGGTCCTAATGATATAATTGACAATGTGAAATAGGAAGAAAAGTGCTAAAGGCATAGGGGAAATGGGAAGGGCAGGGGAAAGGAAATAAGGGAAAAGAAAAAGACACGAGAAAACAAAAAAATGGAAATAAAGTATTTTTAAATAGGGAAGGGAGGAGGGGGTGAAGTGAGGGTAGGGACAAAGGGAAAAAATAAGAACCAAGACCTGTCATGTAAAGGTACAAGATCCCAATGATAAATATAACTGTACTGTATACCTAAAATGTACCAATAAACTCAAAGAGAAAAAAAATTTTAAAAATAACTGTAAATGAAGGGTTAGTAGTGAATGTATGCCCAACCAGGGAAATGAAAACTACATGTATGATAATACTGAAAAATTACTAATCTTTTTAAAGGCATGACAATGGCACTACAGTTATGTGTGAAAACATATCTTTTGTTGGTAGTACTAATATTTTTAACAGATGAATTAGTGAGAGCTGCTGAGATGTCTGAGAGTTGCTTTATAGTCATCTAGTTGGTGAGAGGGGAAGGTGCTTTAAAGGAAACAAAAGTGAGTTGATAAGATTTGTAGCTGGGTATTAGGTACATGACATTCATCACAACACTGAAATTTCTATATGTTTGAAATTTTCACAGCAAAATGTTTAAAAAAATTTAAAAGCCAAGAAAAAATGACAGAAAGGACTTACCCTGCTGGATATCCTTCATTTCTAAATGTAAACTAGATATCAAAATTCCCACAGCTTGAGATCGTTTTCCATCCAATAACTTGATGATCTGGAGAAAAAAATATATATACATATATATATAAGCTCGAACAGCCATTCAATCTTTCCCAGCGTACCATAGACATAAGACCTACAGACACACTCTTGGATGATGCTAAAGCATTGCTTAACTGGAGATGAGCTTATACACAATTACACACATTTACAAACTACAGCAAAGGAAAAACACCACACAGAATTCTACTAGCCTAAAGCACATACTGGCAATCTTTAGAACATTTTCCTGTGATCTTTTTATTCCAGTACATTTTAACTAAGTTGTAAGGACCATGCAACGTGCAATGATACACCTAAGTTTTTCACTTGCATTGAGATATTTTCAGATTTCTTAAATCACTTCATTATCCCCATTCTTTTTTTTTTCTCTCTCTCTCTCTCCCATTGAGTTTATTGATACATTTTAGGTATACAGTTCAGTTATATTCATCATTGGGATCTTCTACCTTTGCATGACAGGTCTTGGTTCTCATTTTTTCAATGTTTATGGCAATGCTATCTGCTGAATGGCTTAAGGGAAAGAACTTCCTGACCTTAATAATGCCATTTATCAGTGATATGGTGCTCGTAAAGCCACAACCTTTAGGACTGCATTCTGAATAGTACTATCTTTGTTTTTGTTTTCGTTTTTTGAGACAGGGTCTCACTATGTAGTTGAGACTGAGCTGGAAATTACTATGTAGCTAAGGCTGCTCTCAAACTCACAGCAATACTCCTGCCTCAGCCTCCTGAGTGCTAGGATTACAGGTGTGTGCCACCACGCCCGGCTGAATAGTACTATCTTTAAATAACACATTTACTTTAGAAACTAAATGATATAATATATGTAACCACCTAATGCAGTTCTTGGCCTATAGTTATTTTTAAATGAATTTCAATGTTAGAGTTAGGCTATATCCCATTTATGCTATTATAATATAAATAATTTTAATATTTTATGCATAAAACTAATCTTAATCTTAAATTGTTCTGTTATAATAATATATGTATACTAAAACCTTTACAATCTTTTTTTAAACTTCAAATATTTCACTGCAATTTCTTCAATTTTTATTAATTTGGAGAAATTTATACAGTTTTGTGTTTCTATAAATCTCAAAAAACCAAATCAGCTCCTAATATCAAGTCATACAGTGGCTACTAAGGGAAAAAATGATGTTTTCTCTCATATGGTAGGGCTACAAAATTCAATAGGGTGGACACACGAAACATAACTGTATTTCATAAGTGTTTTTAGTGGACTTTCTTGGGTGAAACACAAATTAAACTAAATAGCCATATCTCCCTTCCCAGCTAGGTATTCACAAATTTACCAAATATAGTGAAGACAGGACTAAAGAATAATAGAAACTTAGATCATGCTATTGCTACACTAGTTAATTGGCTTCAGCTTGAACAATAAATATACAAGACTTTGTTCCGATCAAGATTATTGAACAGTCTAATGACTACGTACCTATCAATTTATCTTCACTCAATTATTGCAAGCCCTTTATCATTCCTTTTCCTATTCAAACTAGCTACTTTTATACAATAATTAAACCTAAAACACAGTAAACACATGGACTTAAATAAGATATAAGGAGAATCAGATTTTTCAGTCTAATATGTTTAATAATTTCAATATTAGATTTAGAGAAAGACTCCTAGGGGTATAGAATTTTTTTAAATAAGGAAAGTAATTGATATTTTTGTATTTTCTGTACAAAAGCAAAAGTAAAGGAAAAAGAAATTAAGCGCAATCAAGTATCTTCTTTAAAAATGCAATTTGTTTTCTTCTTACAGAACTCAAGGCTAAATGATTCCCCCTGCCCTGCCCCGTTATGAGGAATCAAACTTAGGACCTTGCACTTGCAAGGCAGGCATGGTGCCACTGAGCTAAATCCCCAGCTGAAGCTAAATGGTCTTAAAAGTCCAACACAAAATAAAGAAAAGCAAGCATTTTTTAAAAACAAATGTTCAGCCATACATTCATTCATTTCAAAATATTTGCTCTGCATCTGTTATGGGTCTAGAACTGCTTTAGACTCCAGGCTGTACAGGTGACAGAAACAGAATAGTTAAGTCTTCATCCTCAAGAACTATGCAGCTTAGAAATGTTAAACATCACTGTGATCAATTGCTACAGCTATCAAAAAGTCAAATAAAATAAGCACCTGAACTAGGTATAGAGTAAATTCAAAAGATGAGCTTTGGGAATTGACTGGATGGATTCTTAATTAATGTGTTCTTATCTAAGATGGTGTCTAATGAATTCATGGCCATGGCACAAACAACAATGTCTAGAAGACAAGTACAGAAATCAAATCTATGACAAAATCTTAACTGGGCCACACAAGCCTGTTCAAATGGATATGCATAAGTCCACCAGACAAAATTCTGAAAAGCTCCAACACCACATTCTGCCTCCGAGAAAGGCAATGTTCAAATGCAGGTTTTCATGTAAGAGACCACAAGGAGACCAGATAGTGAGACAGGTGCTAATTCTGTCTGCCATGAGGTAAAATCAAGCACACGTGTCCCTCGCTTTTTGCAAGCAGGCCAAATTATGAAAAGAATGTTACCTTTTCAAATGTTTTGAATGTATGTGTATGTGTTATCTGTAATTGAACATACATCTCAAGAGCTTTTTCCCCCCTAAACTTTCTGTAAAAAGCTTTCTGTAAAGCAAAGTTGGAGCATTTGTATTTTCTTTCCTACATGTATCAAATTCTCCTTTTGACAAAACCTTTAAAATGTCCTTCTAATTTTCTACTATCTGCTTTTTATCAGATTACTTCTCAAAATGAAGAAAAATGGCAAGAACACCATGAATATTTAATTATAGGTTGCAAACCCTCCTTACTTTTATTTTTTCTCATAGATTTGAAGATTTCATTCTATTTTATAAAAAGTATAGTTGCGATCTGATAACATGTATGGGATACACTCAATTCTTTTGTATTTAAGTATGATTTATGGACTAATATGTGGTCTATTTTGAAAAATGTCCCCTGTGCTGCTGAGAAGAATGTGTATTCTCTTGTTCAGTAGAACACTGCAAATATCTATTAAGTCCATTTGCTCAAAGGTGTGGCTCAACTCCGATACTTGTTGATTTTTTTGTTTAGTTAATCAATTTTTTGTTGCAGAGTATTAGGGTATCATGCTATAATTGTGTTGACTTTTCAAGCCCAGTAGTGTTTGTTTTATGAAGTTGGGTATGCCAGTGTTTGGTGCATATATATTTGTAACTGTTCTCTCTTCCTGTCAAATAGTTCCCTTAACCAGTATGTGGTAACCTACTTTGCCCCTTCTGATTAGTTTTGGGTTGAAGCCTACTTTGTTTGAAAATAGGAAAGCACCCCCTGCTCGTTTGGGGGATCTCATTGCATGAAATAATGTTTCTGCCCTTCATTTTTCAATCTATGAAATTCCTTTTGGATTAAATGTGCTTAATATTGTTGGGTGTTGGGTTTTGATCCAACCTGCCAATCTGTGTCTTTTTCAGAACCACTGAGCTAAATCTCCAGCTTCAGTTTCTGTCTTTTGACTGGGGAGCAGAAACCATTTAAACTAAGAGTTACTACGGAAAGGTACTGACTTATTCCTGTCACTGTCTTATTTTCCTGTTGCTGATTTCTTTTCACCTCCCTTCTACTTAACTGATTGGTACGTTCATTCCACTAGACATTTGGCATCACTGGCTACATTATCTCTTTCTAGGATATTTTGGAGAATTTTGGGGAGTGCTGGTTTGGTTGTCATGAATTCCTGTAGGTGCTCTTTGTCATGGAAAGACCTTATTTCTCCACCAATTTTGAAAGATAGTTTAGTGAGATATATTAGTCTAAGGTAGAAGTTGTTTTCTTCCAAGGCCTGAAATATTTCACTCCAAGCTCTCCCGGTCTTTCAGGTTTGTGCTGAGACATCTAATATAGTCCTAAGGGAATGAACTTTGTAGCTAATGTGTTGCTTTTTCTAACAGCTTGCAAGATTCAGCCCCTGCACTGGACTTCTACCATTTTGACTATGATGTGTCCATGAAGAATCTCTTTTCTAATTCTGACATTTGAGAGTCTATATGTCTTGCTTACCTGCATGTTAAATTCTTTCCCCCTATGTTGAAAGTTTCCTGCTATCATTTCCATAAACAATATTTTTATGCCACTGATGCCATATTTTGATTTTTCACTAATATAGATTAATTTTAGGTTAGTCTTTTTTGCAATATCTAGCAGCTACTGATCCATTTTCTATAATCTGTTGTTTTTAAGGTCACTTGGATATACAGTCACCTACATCAGCTCTGGATTTTAGTTCTGACACTGTTTCCTCACACTGGTCACTTCTGCTGCCCATGTTTTCAATACACATTTTTATCTCCTGGATTTCTATATGGCACCTTTTCATGATCTCTACTACTTTGCTTAATTGTTCACTTTTGCTTTTAATCATTTCATTTAGCTCAAAGAGCTTTTTATTAGTGTCTTCTTTAATTGATGGCAAAAGAAACCACAGAAAGTATGTAAACATATGAAGATTAAACAATATACTCTTTAATAATCAGTAGATCATAGAAGATATCTAAAAGGAAATTAGATAATGCATAGACTCAAATGATAATGCCAGTGGTACATACCAGAATCTATGGGACACAAGGAAAGCAGTCCTAAGAAGAAAGTTAATAGCTGTGAATATCCACATCAGAAAAACAGAGCAAGCCCCCAAAATAACCTAATAATGCATCTCAAGGCCCTAGAAAAAAAGATAATCCAAATCTAAACTAGTAAAAGGAAGGAAATTATAAAGATCAGAGCAGAAATTAATTAAATTGAAACTAAAAGAAATTACAAAACTTAATGAATCAAAGAGCTAGTTATACAAATGAACAAATAAAACAGAAATTTTTAGCCAATTTATATGAATGAAGAAAAGACCTATATCAATGCAACTAGCAATAAAAAGATAAAATAATAGACATTACCAAAATCTATAAGATTATTAGTGACTACTTTAAAAATCTGTACTCCAATAAATGGAAAAATTTAGACAAAATGGATAGATTTCTATATGAGTTGCCAAAACTTAACTAAGAAGTTATAAAAACCCTGACCAATCCAATAACATGCAATGAAATTGACACAATAATTAAAAAAAAAAATCAAAGTCTGCCAACTAAGAAAATCCTAGGACCTGATGGATACACTACTGAGTTGTGTAAGAACTTCAAGGAAGACTTAATGCCAATATGCCTCAAAAATTTAATAAAAGTAAAAGGGAAGAACTATGCCAAACCCATTCCTGGAAGCCAGCATCACCTTAGTTCCTAAACCAGAGAAGGAATAAATTGAAAAAGAAAACTACAGGCCAATCTTTTTAATGAATAGAAATGCAAAATTTCATAACAAGATACTGGCAAATAGAATGCAACAAATCATAAAAATGATCATACCATGAACATGTAGGCTTTACCTCAAGAATGGAAGAATGGTTCAATATATGCAAATCAATAAATATAATACATCACAAAAACAGAACCAATGACAAAAATCATATGAACATCTCAACAGATGCAGAAAAATCATTTGTCAAACTCCAGTATCCATTCACAACAAAAAAAGAACGCTGAAGAAAATGGGCACAGAAGAACCTTATCTATTTATAACGAAATTACTTCCAGCAACATAGTGGGGGAAAACACTGAAAGCTTTTCCTCTAAAATAAGGAACAAAATAAGGATGTTCATTATCACCACTCTTGTTCAATATAGTACTCAAAACTTTAGCCACAGCAATAAAACAACAGAAAGAAATAAGAGGGACATATGGGAAAGAATGAATTCAAATATTATTATTTGCAGAAAACATGATCCTTTACATAGAAGGCCTAAATAAATAAATAACTTCACTGAAAGACTCCTAGAAGAAACAAATTCAGCAAAGCAGCAAGCCACAAAATTAACATACAAAACTCCAAAGTGTTCTACTACACCAATAATGAACAAAGAGAAAGAAATTAGGAAATACATCATTCACAATAGCCTCCAAAAATTACTTAGGATTAAACTTGTAAAAAAATAAAAGATCGGGATGGGGATTAAGCTCAGTGGTTTGACCTCCTGATTTGCAAGCGCAAGGTCCTGAGTTCGATCTCTGGTACAAAAAAAAAAAAAAGAAAAGAAAAGACCTACACAAAGAAAACTATAGAATTCTAAAACAGCAGATCAGAGAGGACATAAGAAAATGAAAAGATACCCCTGTTCCTGCATAGGTACAATGAACACTGTCAAAATGGTTGCACTATCAAAAATAGTATATAGATTTAGTGTCATCCCGATTAAAATGCCAACAACATTCCTCACAAAACTATAATAAAATACTAAAGTTCATATAAAACCAGAAGAGACTCACAATAGTAAAAGCAATCCTGGGCAAGAAGAGCAAAATAGGAGGCCCCACAATCCCAGAATTAAAATTATATTACAATGCTAGAATGAAAAAACAGCATGGTATTGACACAAAAAATAGACATGTGGATCAGTGGAACAGAATAGAAAATGCAGAGATAACCACAGGCACATTCAGCCATCTGATCTGTGATAAAGGGGTCAAAATTATACACTGGTGAAAAAATAGCCTCTTTAACAAATGGTGCAGGAAAAACTTGCTATCCACATGCAAGACTGAATCTAGACCCTTCTCACCATCAGCTAAAATAAAATCAAAACAGACCAAAGATGTAAATACAAAAACAGAAACAGTCTTAGTCTTGAAGATAGAGGCATAGGCAAGGACTTTCTGAACAGAGCCCCACATGAACCAGATATAACATCAAAAATAAATACATGGAATTATATCAAATTAAAATTTTTCTCATTGAATCTTAAGCTCCTAAAAAAAGAAAAGCAAGAGAAACCCAAAGCTCATACAAGCAAGGAAATTATAAAGATCAGAGCAGAAATCAAAGCAATATGGACTAAGAGAATGATACCCCCCCAAAAAAGAAAAAGAACATCAATGAATCAAAGAGTTGGCTTTTCAAAAGAATAAATAAAATCAATAAACCCTGAGCCAACCTTATCAAAAAAAGTAAATGCTCAAATTCATGCAATTAGGAATGAAAATGTTGAAATCACAACAGATCCAGCAGAAATCCAGAGGACCATCAATACCTACTTCAAGAACCTTTACTCTAATAAAATGGAAAACTTAGAAGAAATGGACAGATTTCTAGATGTATGTGAATTACCAAAGTTGAATGAAGAGGATATAAAAATTCTAAACACCACAATTACAATCAAATTAAAAATGTAATTAAAAATTTACCAACAAAGAAAAGCCTAGGTCCTGATGGCTTTACTGCTGAAATCTATAAGACATTTAGAAAAGAACTATTGCCACTACTCTTTAAACTTTTCAATGAAATTTAAAGAGAAGCAATACTTCCAAATTCATTCCTGGAAGCAAGTGTTACTTTGATTCTAAAACCAGGGAAAGATTCAACCAAAAAAAAAAAGAGAACTACAGGCCAATCTCCCTAATGAACATAGATGCAAAAATACTCAAGAAGATACTGGCAAGGGCCAGGGATTTGGCTCAGTGGTTCTGCCACCTGCCTTGAAAGCACAAGAACCCGAGTTCAATCCCCAATACCAAAAAAATTTTTTTTAATTTATTAAAAAAAGAAGATACTGGCAAACAGAATACAGAGGGCCATCAAGAGGATTATACACCCTGACCAAGTAGGATTTATTCCAGGGATGCAAGAATGGTTCAACATATGTAAATCAATAAATGTAACACACTATATCAACAGAGTCAAGGACAAAAGGCCATATGTTCATCTCTATAGATGCAGAAAAGGCATTTGACAAAACCCAACACCTATTCATGATAAAAGCCCTATAGAAAATTGGAATGGATGATCATCATCTCAACTTGATAAAGGCTATCTATGAAAAGCCAACAGCTACCATCAGACTCAATGGTCAAAAACTGAAAACCTTCACACTAAAATCAAACAAGACAAGGATGCCCATTTTACCACTCCTGTTCAATATAGTTTTGGGAATATTAGCCACAGCAATTAGACAAGATAAAGAAATAAAAGCAATAAAGATAGGAAAGGAAGAAGTGAAATTGTCATTATTTGCTGATATGATACTCTACATAGAAGACCCCAAAAAACTCTGCCAAGAGACTTAATTGACAGATTCAAAAAGGAGCTACATACAAGGTAAATTCCCAAAAATCAATAGCCTCCTTGTCCACAAATAACAGACTCACTGTGACTGAAATTAGGCAAGCAATCCCTTTCAAAATAGCACCCCAAAATGAAATACCTAGGAATCAATCTAACAAAGGAAGTAAAAGACCTCTACATTGAGAACTACAACACTCTGAAAAAAGAGACTGAAGAGGATAGAAGAAAATGGAAAGACATCCCCTGTTCCTGGGTAGGAAGAATCAATATAGTGAAAATGGCCATACTTCCAAAACTGCTATACAGATTCAATGCAATCCCTATTGAAGTCCCAACAGTATATTTCACAGAACCAGAGAAAACAATCCAAAAATTAATTTGGAATCAGAAG